GACGTTCACCGACTCAGCCGAGGACACCCGCACCCGGGGCCAAGCGCTCGCCGCCGCCTCCATCATCGTCCATTCGGGATTGTGAGTGGGAACCGGGGGGGTCAGGTGGGCGCTGGGTGGGCTCCAGCAGGGGTTGGAGTGATGCTTTCCCCTTCTTCTCCAGGTGGCTGGTTTACTCCAAACCTTTCTTCGACGATGACCCCTACGTTTTGGAGCCGGGCGGGTACCCCAGTTTAAAGGCTTGGGGAGCAAAGGACCCATCCATCTGCTCCATGCACCCCATCAGGCTGGTGAGTGCTGGTTACTGGGGTGCTGGGGTTGTATCCAGCCCCAGGCGACAGCATCTCGCAGTAGTTCCTGGTTCAGAGCAGTGGGATCTCAGTGTGGAGCTCATCGGAATCACAGTATTGTGTGTGAAACGTAGCTGTGGAAAGTGCTGCTGTGGGTTAGTGGTGAAGGAAAGCAAAAAAAAAGTCCAAAAGAGCTTGTTCTTGAAATAAAATGACCCATAAAACAGTTGAGGATTTAAAGGCGGGAGGAATCACATGTCCCTATGTTGTCCCCTCCTGCCACCCCAGCCTCACCAGGGCTCCTTCCTCTTCCAGGGCTGCCCTGTTGTGGAGAGACCCGGTGAGCGGAGGTGAGCTTGGGGCCAGTGCCGCGGGACCAGGGTGGCCGTGGGACCGTGCTCACCCTGCCCTGTCCCCAGGTGCTGCTCTACGAGGCTGCAGGTTTCCAGGGCCGCAGCTTCACCATCAGCCGAGACATCTACGACCTGAAGAGCCTGCCGGGGCCAGCACTGACCACCGTGGGCTCCCTCCACGTGCTGGACCTCCAGGTGCTGGGTTGCTGGTGAGTGGCACGCTGTGGGCATCCCAGCTGGAGCAGGCTGGGAAGGTGACGGTCACCCCCAGGAAAGGGGCTGTGGGATGGCTGTGGACAGCTTAGGGGAGAGGGTGGCACTGGAGCAGTGTGGCTGGTGTCTGTGTTGTCCTGGCACATGGAAATCCCTCAGGGACCTCACTGTCTGCTTCTGCCTGTGCCGCAGCTGGGTTGGCTACGAGAAGGAGGGCTTCCGCGGTCACCAGTACTTGCTGGAGGAAGGGGAGTACCAGGACTGGAGGCACTGGGGTGGCTACAGGAAGGAG